CGGTTGAATACTTTCTTTAAAATGGTGAAAAATGTAAAATCGGCCCGCAAATCCGTTTTCGAGCCCTGATCTTTCCAAAAAATTTATATGTTCATTGTTTTAATACGAGGAGTTCATATATTAAATTTCAATGAAATCGGTTAATTATTTCTCTTTATATACACAAAAATTTATATTTGGCCCGTAGTAAACGTCTAGTTGCCGATGCCTGATTTCTTCCAAAACATACGAATTTTTGCGGATGGTCGAGCTGGGCTTATATATAAAATTTCAAGTAAATCGGTTGTATACTTTCTTCAAAATGTTCAAAAATGTAAAACAGGCCCGCTAAAAAGTGCAGTTCCCGAGGCCTGATATATACCAAAAGTTGATCGATCCGTGCCATGGTGGAAACAAACTTACATATAAAATTTCATCAAAATCGGTTCAGCCGAACTTGAGATACACGCGTGCACACACAGACCGACAGACCGACAGACCGACAGACCGACAGACCGACAGGTTGCTAAATATAGTTTATTTACACTTCCCTACTATGGAGAAGTACGTTCCCACCGAAAACTCGATATGCAAAATTTGTTGCCATCACATAACCTACCTATTGTTTACACAATACGGTCGGTAAATATAATGGGGCCAGCACATAACCGGCCATAATGTATATTGTCTAGTTTAGCGAAAATGATAAAGAAGATTATGAGTTGGTCATATAAACTGGTGACGTTAGAGTAAACTTTTAGTTAACATCTCTAGAAAAATGTAAATTTGGTTTTTAGTAGAATTTCGCTTTGTTCCATCCAAATTCCCTGAAAAGTTCACCAATTCGTTTAGGTAAAAACTATAACTGAAATAACAAATTTCAAGAAATGCCATCAACCCGATCTGTAGATATAGTAAAAAATTTATAGAAATGTCCTCCAGTTCGGTTGTCGAGTCCTAATCTTTCCAAAAAATTTGTAGGTTCATTTTTTTAACATCTTGAATTTATATATTAAATTTCAAAGAAATTGAGTGATTATTTCCTCTTATATGCGCAAAAATATAAAATCGGCCTGCAATGAGGTTCAGTTCCCGAAGTTTAATATATCTCAAAAATTGATCAATCCATGTCAAAGCTAAAATAAACTCATATATAAAATTTCATCAGAATTGGTTCAGCAGATCTAGAGATACACGCGTATAAAAGTAAACAGATAGACAGACAGACCGATAGATCGCCATCTCTCTAAAAATAGTTTATTTACTTTAATAGTTTATTGAAAATAGCTTCCCTATTATGGAGTTATCACTTATTTAACCTCCTTTATTGTATGCAACGCGGTCGGTAAAAAGAGACATTCAAGCATGTTTTCACAGAATTCATCTAAACATAAATATTAATTCTTTTATTCATCGGTCATTATAAATGCAAAAACTCAGCATCATATCTAACGTACAACTGCAATTGCAATAAACATTTAAAATCAAACAAAAGAGAAAACTATTTCAATGGACAATTAAACTATTCATTACGGTTTAACTCAAATAAAATTATTGTAAGTCCTATACAATATAAAATTGCAGTAACACCAACAGTAAGAAAGCATCTTTTGCAGAAGAAAAAAACATTTGAATGCGACATTAAATAAAAACAAAAAATAAGTAATTTTATAACAATAAGTTAAAAGTATCAATAAAAATGGTAAAGAAAAGCATGAAAAATAAATCCGATCAGATTTGTAGTTTTCAACATTACCTAAACAATTGAAGATGTTGTTTGCATTATTGTAAATTTTTGTATTATTGCATGAGCTCGTCATTTACGTACGTCAATTTCCTGCATACCTCCAAAATTGAGGAATCGAACATTAATTTGCCGATCGAATTTGGTATTTAATTGGGTCAATAAAATGGATAAATATATTTTTTGAAAACAGACTTTACGGCCGGCTCTTTTTTTTAGGATTTTGGAAAAGCTTACAGTTTCGATATAATAAACTGACGACAATTTGAAATTGTTAATTTTAAGAAGAGATAGCCGATAAAGCGTTTCATAGAGAAGTAAAAAACAATTTGTTCAATCACAATTTAATTACTTATTAATTTTTACAAGCTATTAAAATTCCCGACATCTGCATCTTCCTGTCTTAGACAGACATATGATAAAAATTTTGAAAGAACGTAGGTTTCCGTTTACATTTACGGAATTTAAATATTAGTTTGTATTTATTATCCTATTGATAATGTAACTATCAATAGGAAATATAAGCAAAAGTTTTCTTCTTCAGAAACTGATTTCTCAAAAAACTCCATTTGTAAATTTGAAAATCGTCATTTTTCATTTTGAAAGCAGACGAACGGGTAGAATGAGACCAAAAGCACGATTTTTCCAATTTTGTTAAAAAATTTTAAATATACTCCCAAATACTGAAAAAAACGAAGAAACATGTATGCTGTAAGTTCATTATTTGTATTTATTTAATATTGTTAGCCAGTTGCAAAAGAGAAAAAAAACACTGAGTCATAAAAAACTTATACATTGACATAATTCAGTATAGATATTAAAAGATTTACGAGATACCAAGTCAAGACCAACTAAACAACTAAAAAGTTTAATAGGATTATAGGATGTTACAACTTGTTCGAATTCTTTCGAGTTTTTTACAAATATAGCGGACAAATAAGAAGCTTCGGACTTAATAAGAAGATGTATGTTTTTATACCCTGCACTTCGTGAAGGGTATATTAACTTTGGTATGGAGTTTGTAACTACTTGAAGGAGTCATCTGCGGTATGGACATATATATATATTCTTGCTCAGCGTAAAATTCTGAGTCGATTTAGACATGTCCGTCTGTCCGTCCGTCCGTCCGTCCGTCCGTCCGATCGCACGATAACTCAAAAACGAATAATGCAATCGACACCAAACTTTCACAAGTTTTTTCTGTTGTGCCAAAGACGAGCCCTATTGTTATTGGACTAATTCGGACAACGGGTTCGGGTAGCTGCCATACAACTCAAAGAGTTTATTTTAAATATTTCAAAAACTAATAAAGGTATAAATATAAAATTTTGTATACATGTGTCCAATTATATTCTGCACATGCTCTAAAAATGATAATGGGATAGCTGCTCCGGTTCGGGTGGCTGCCATACAACTCCTACAGCAAATTTTTTATATTCGGCAAAATAATAAAGTCAGATTCATGAAACCTGGCAATCATGTGTCCAATTATGGCTCAAATATATTTCTGAAGTTTTGGTGGAATTGCTCGACAGGTTCGAGTAGCTCCCATACAGGTCTAAAAGCTTATTTTAAATATTTGGAAAAATAATAAAGTCAAATTCATGAGACTTGGCAGTCGTGTGTCCAATTATAGGTCCGACATAAAGTTTTGGTGCGATTGCTTGACAGGTTCGAGTAGCTCCCATGCAAGTCTACAAGCTTATTCTTAATATTTGGAAAAATAATAAAGTCAGATTCATGAAACTTGGCAGTTGTGTGTCCGATTATAGATCAGATATATTTGTGAAGTTTTGATGGAATTGCTTGACAGGTTCAGGTACTTGCCATACAACTCCAAAAGCTTATTTTACCTATTTGGAAAAATAATAAAGTCAGATTCATGAAACTTGGCAGTTGTATGTTGAGTAATAGGTCACATATATTTCTGAAGTTTTGGTGGAATTGCTTAACAGGTTCGAGTAGATCCCATACAAGTCTAAAAGCTTATTCTTAATATTTGGAAAAATAATAAAGTCAGATTCATGAAACTTGGCAGTTGTGTGTCCGATTATAGATCAAATATATTTGTGAAGTTTTGGTGGAATTGCTTGGCAGGTTCAGGTACTTACCATACAACTCCAAAATCTAATTTTAAATATTTGGAAAAATTATAAGGTCAGATTCATGAAACTTGGCAGTCGGATGTCCAATTATAGGTCAGACATGTCCGTGAAGTTTCTATAGAATGATTTTAGAGGTTCAAGTAATTGCTACACAATAACGAAAGGTGCAGGGTATAATTCAATCGGTTTATACCGACTGAAACGTTTTTACTTGTTAATATTATACTTTAAGTAAGCAAAAATTTATCCGAATTCATTATTAATAAAATTCTTTTCTTCAAATTATTTAGGTTCGACCGTAAACAATAATTTCTTTTGTATTTTACTAATGTTGTATAAACCTCAAGTAAATTGAGTTATATTATCCGTAGTTCGTAACTGTAAAATAACACAGAGAACTCATTAAGAAATTGAATAAGAGGGCAAGCAGCCAATTTTATATAATTATTTTATTCCATCGCGTGAACATCAAACGCCGCTATTGATAAACAATAAAAACTTTGCACGTTTTTAGATTTTAGCTTATGGAATCTCTTAATTTTTCTTAGCAACAACATTAAATAATTAGCATATGTTTTTGTGCGAGATTGCAAACTAATCAAAGTTAAAAGTAAATGCATAAAAAGTCGTCTGCAATATGTTTAAGGTGAATATTTTTAGAAAGTTTCCCATTGCTTCTTGTTGGCCACGTATTGACATACGATTCAAATACTTTAATTGCAAGATTGATATTCAAAATGGAATCTCATTTTCATAATACTTTTTATATATCCACAATAGTGCTAAAATATTTAATTGTTTCATCATATAAAAATATTTTTCAATTTAAATTCTAACGCTCATGAAAAATTTCAAAAACACATTGCGTTGCTGTTCACTTGGACGCAACAATACTACATAGGAAAGAGGGAACATTTCACTAACGTACAAAATAGGACAAAAAATAGAAAGAAATTTTTGAAACTTTTCAGTGTAAGATTATTTTTAAGCACAATTGATTTGCACTTTAGTAAAAGTTGTTTGTTTTCTGAAGTTAGTCTGCTTTTTATTTAACATTGCTGTTAAAAGAAAATAAATTTTTTTTTTAAAAAAAAAAACAAAAAAATTAATTCGAGTCACATAAAAAAACCGTCTAAACTAAAAATAATGAAAATAATATTTCGTATACCAACCTGAAACATATCTGTTTCCGGATCTTCTTTATATTCAACAATTACAGCCTGATTTCTGGACAGTGTATATGATATTGAATGTTGATTTGCATCCAGTATGGCTTTTGACGTTTGTGGTGATTGAACTATATAATGTTTTGATCTTTTAACTCCATTTGCTTCTGTGCGTTTATATAAAACAAATTTTGAACGCCGTCGCCCTCTATCACCTTGTGGTAAAAATCCATTGTATCTATATAAAATAACAAAAAACAATGGCAAAGAAATTAATTGTATTCAAAATAAATAATTAGAGAAAATGTTTAATTATGCATGTTAAGAAAAAACAAACATTGATATGCATGTGCATTTGTAAGTGAAAACAATGAGTTATTCATTGTACTTTTAATGGATGAATTCTAACAGAAATGGTGTTCGAAAATTAAAGTTAAATTTTTCTTAAAAAAACTATAGAATAGACTTTTGAATATTGTATAACTTCTAAAAGATATTATATATAGCGCATATATAGTCATTTGTTGCTGTACATTTTAATTTTTTAATGTTAGAAACATTTTTTGAAAGCTATTTTTATGAAAGAATTTAAATTTGTAATAAAATTTAATCGAATGAAATTCAGAAACTTAAAATGCTTTACTTTACAGAGTAAATGAACAGCACATTTTACCATGCCTATAAATTGTAACTTCATAATCATGTCGTAATTCTAAAATACAGTTGTCTCTGCCGAAATATGTTAAATGCATTTACATACATACATATATTAATGAATTGCCCAAATACATATTTTTTTAAATGAAATCATGGGTTGTTTTTTTACTAAATTCTAAATACTAAGTATGTTGTTTAAAATTAGCTCTAATAGCGTCCTTAAGTAAAATTCTTTAATTCATATGTATATAAAATGGTTCATATAATTTCAACTTAAAGTCTCCAAAGGTTTTCTCATTTGTGAATTTTTTATGAAACAACGGAACACCTTTTGACTTGACACAAATAATTATGTTTTCGTAGCTCCTATACAATACAATTATGTTAAATACATATTTATGGATAAAAATACAGTAATCATTGCATTATACGGCGGCAATTTTATTAAAACTTTACAAAAATAAATATCAACTTGACAACCAAATCAACCAACTTGATGAAACTTAACGACAAAGTTTAAACATATAAACGATTACCAAATAGAAATTGTGTGGCTCGCTTGGATAAAGCATTTAAAAATATAGATTAAGAGTTTTATGAAATTATATTCATGAATTTTTTTATTCTTCTGATCCAAAATAACTTATATGCTAAAAGCTATAGTGGTATTTTTTTTAATTCCGATGAGAATTAATCAAAGAATTACATGACGAGATATTCTAAAAATTGTATTACCACCAAAAAATTATGGTAGGTACACGTCTCTAAATTAAAAAAAATAAAAAAAAAAAAACGAAAATAATCATATTCCTACGAGTAATTTCCTCTTATATATTTCAATATAGTTCAATAAACTTGAATAAAGAATAACAGAGTGAACTTAAACAAATGTTTAAGGAAAAAAATAAACTCTAAATCAAATACATTATAACTTCAGTTTTCTATATAGATAAAAATAGACATAAAATATCAGAAGTGAAATGCCAGATTTTAAACATGACAGAAACATGGCAATGGAATGGCCATCATACTGTTGGTATTACTGATCACATTTCTATACTGATAACATTTTGTTACTATGTTCATTTACTAATCCGCTATTTCATATTGTACAATATCTTTATTCCACATTCTATTCTTTTACATTCTTACATTCTAATAAATGTTAAAATTTTACATTTTTTTAACTAACTTAATTCTGGACTTAATAATGGAATATTTTGGTATCCTAATAAGAATAATAAAAATATAAATCATGTGGATTACAGTATAAAGCAATGTGAAGAACAATTTGTTGGCAATTTCTTCATACCTCTGTAGCTCGATTGGTAGAGTGTTCACCTGGAAAGCGGTAGGTGACTGGTTCGAGTACAGTTCGAAGAGAAAATTTTTTAAATTTTTTTGCCTTTAACTTGTATGAAGAAATTTCATTGAGTTAATAAACATAGAAATTACTCTTTTTTTTATGGAAAAGAAATACATATCTTTATTTTCCATTCAGTGGTTTGATCCGACATTTTTTATAGATTACCGTTGTTATATTTTTTAGGATAACTTTACTACCACATCATTTTATACTTTAACAAAAATGTTAAAAATTTAACTTTCTTAAATACTTAGAAGCATGTACTCGTAAAAACGATTTAACTTAGTATTTTCAGAACTTACTTACACGTAACACGTAAATAAAATTCACAAGAAAAACTTATTTCAACATATAACATAGCAGACTATTCAAACTTAGCAAATTTTTTTTTAAAGTTTTGCTTCTTTATAGTCTACTACACACACTATTTTTCTGTGGCATCTCAAAAATTTAAGCGTACCAAACAACACCTTACTCACCGATCCCAGCATATTATACCATACTCAAATTAAACAGACATAAGTGAAAGTAAGTGTGTATTATTACTTTTTCACTTTTAAAGCTCTAAATTATAATATTTTGAGTTAATTTTGAGCTAGAAAATAATTCCACATTCCACAACGAAAGGAAATACAAAAATTTTTAATTTCTAATAAGCAGAATAAGTAGCTTTTATATTGTTATGGAGTAGTATTTAGAAAATAATTAAATATTATTTTTATAACTCCGCCTGATTGCAATTTGCTATCTGCCGGTCCCAAGCCCGGGAAAAGGAGGAGGGTTTGAGGTAAAGGTTACACCGATCCTCAGAAAAATCTAGCCCAGTGTCTGGGGGGATAGCCAGACCACCCTCTCTTAGGGGTTATAATACTAATTGCCGGTCCTCCTGGTAGGGGGTTGAGCGCAAGGCTTACAACCTTGTCTCGTGAAACACGCTTCTGTATTGGGACCTAGAAAGATGCCTCGGATGAACAGCAGATTGATCAAACGGAAAAAGACCCTCGCAAAGAACACGGATTATGAGATGAAAATGAGATTAGGAACATGGAACGTATTAAGTTTATATAAACCTGGCGCTCTTAAAAACTTATTAGAACAAATAACGAAATATAAGGTACAAATTACTGCGATACAGGAGACCAGATTTTTAGGAGAAAAAATTTTTAACTCTGGTCAATACGTCATATATTCTAGTGGTAACAAAAATAATGTACATATGTTTGGAACTGGCTTTGTTGTATCAAAACAAATAAATAATAACATTATAGACTTTAAAGCAAAAAATGAGAGATTGTCTGCTTTAAGAATTAAAACGAAATTCTTCAACTTGGCGATTATTTGTGTTCATGCACCTACAGAGGATAAAAGTGAAGAAGAAAAGGATTTATTTTATAATAACTTAAATCAGTTGTATGATGAATTGCCGAAAAATGATATAAAAATAATTGCAGGAGATTTTAATGCTCAAATAGGGAGAACATCATCAACTCCACACAGCTTGCATACAGAATCAAATGACAATGGTTGTCGAGTAGTAGATCTGGCACAATACCGTAGAATGGTTATTAGTAGCACGACCTTTGAACATAAACGTATTCATAAGGAGACATGGATTGCCCCAAGTAGAAATTTTAAAACCCAAATAGACCATTTTCTGATCGATTCTAGACATCGAAACAACATTCAGGATGTCAGAAGTTTTAGGGGGGCATCACACGATACTGATCATTTCCTGGTGTGTGCTGTTTTTAAAGCAAGAATATCCTCTGAAAGAAAAGAAAGGAAAAGAAGTAAGAAGAAATGGGATGTGAGCCGCCTAAAAGATAGTGACATTAAAAACCAGTTCGTTGATCATATAAACCAAAATTTGACAAACAATGATATGAATGGCAGTATAAATGATACGGACATTAATAACCACTGGAACAGAATTAAATCGGCAGTCACAAGAGCCTCAGATCGAGTTCTAAAAACAACAGCTAGAGCTCAAAGAAATGGCTGGTGGGATGATGAATGCCTATTGGCAAATAATCTAAAAAACGACGCCAGGCAAAAGATGTTGCATCGAAATACGAGAACGAATTTTCTGGAATATAAAAGACTAAGGAATGCAGCACAAAATTTATTTAGAAGAAAGAAAAGAGCATTGCTGGAAAGCAAACTAAGAAATATTGAAAATTTTAGACAAATAAATGACGCAAAAAAATTCTACAAAGAAATGAAATGTATAACAAATGATTTTAATCCTACTGTTGTCGCTTGTAGAGATACGAATGGAGATATACTGCAAGAAAAAACATCAATACTTAAAAGGTGGGCAAATCACTTTAATGATTTATATATAATTCAAACATTATCAGAACAAACGAACATAAAAACGAATTTAGTACAGCTGAAGTGTATATCGAAGAGCCCACAGAACAGGATATGCATGAAAGTATAAAGAATCTGAAAAATAACAGGGCCAGTGGTATTGATGAGATACCGGGTGAAATGTTTAAGAGTGGTGGTATTCTTCTAGAAAAAGAACTACATAAACTTGTAAAAAAGATTTGGAAAGAAGAAAGTATGCCTGATGAATGGCACAAAGGTATAGTTGTACCTTTATATAAAAAAGGAGATAAATTGGATTGCCAAAATTATAGAGGAATTACACTATTATGTGTAGCTTATAAAATATTCACCTCTATATTAAACAATAGATTAAAAGTATATACCCAAGAAGTTATTGGTGATTACCAGGCTGATTTTACGCCTGGAAAATCGACAACTGACCAACTTTTTACCATCAGGCAATTAATTGAAAAAAGCGCAGAATATAATTATAAATTTCATCATTTGTTTATTGATTTCAAACAGGCTTTCGACTCTATACAACGTGATAAACTATGGATGGCCATGGTGGAATTCGGTGTACCTAAGAAACTAGTCAACTTATCAAAGATGGCCACAAGTAAAAATCAGAATTACGTCAGAGTTCAAGGAGAATTGTCGGAACCTTTTGAAGCATATTATGGAGTAAAGCAAGGTGATGTGCTTTCTCCAACGTTATTTAACTTCGCTCTTGAAAAAATAATACGTTCATCGAAAATTGAAACGAACGGCTGCCTTTGGAATAAGTCCTCACAAATTTTGGCTTTCGCCGACGACGTGGACCTTATTGCTCGAAACATCAACACATTAAAAGAAAATTTCAAAAGTTTTGAAGAATCAGC